AAGGTTGAGGCAGATGCAATGGTGTTGGAGGATCATTGGAAACGACTGATAAGGAAGTGGCCCGATGTGGAGGTCGATTTCTGGGGTGAACCGAGTATTCTGACAGATGCGGATGTAGTGCTGCTACATGAGCAAATCAGGGTTCCGCCAGCTGTTAAATTATTTGCCCCATACCTGGGGGAAAGGATTACTTCTCCTCCTCCAGGTTGTATGGGCATTTTTGTCGAGAGTCTGAAGTCGGGTTTGAGATTTCCTTACCCGAATATGATCACTGAGTGCGTGCGTGATTGGGGGTTAGCACAGTGCCAAATTACTCCGAACACCTGGAAAAAGATCATTGGATTAATAGTCTTAATAAATGAAAAAGGACGGGAGCTGCCATTTCGAGATGATATAAGGAGTATCTATTCCTTTAAGAGGAGCCCGAATAGGAAGGTGGCTGAGTCCTTATGCTATTTTTTTACTGGTGGAAAATCGGGGACCGGGTTCAAAATTGGTGATTTAATCGCCGATATTCCAGAGACTCTTCCCGGTTTCCAAGAGGAATGGTTATGGGTTGGGGGTGATTGACAATCTACAGATTTTTTCCCCGAAACTCCTATAGATGGGATGACCATTCCCATGAATATTTTATTATGGATATAGTAAGTATTTTTGCTTTTTGTACTTTAATCTTTTCTGATGATCTGTTGTTTTGTGTACTAACAGGTTAGATCTTTTTCATCTTTGTAGAGAAGAGGAATAAGGAACCCAAACTTAGTCCAGAATTTGGAGGTCGGTTGCAAGAATTGTTTGCATTGGACAAAAAACTTCGGAGCTATAAAGATTTAGTCACCGACTTGAGACTTGAACGTGTGGGTCTACCTTCGGGAGTTTTAGATCATTCGTTCAATCCTGGTATGAAGTCAGGGTATCCACAAGATTACTTTTAATGTAATAATGCAGTATACTATCCTCTACTCGGTTTCTCCAGGTTTAGAACAGTTGAGGACGCAAAAGAATTTCAACGTCAGTTTCCGAATAAGGAACTTTATAATAGACGTGCTCAAAGACTGACTAATATGACGAAGAGGAACTTGGTAAGAGCTCTGAGACAAAATACTGCTGGGCAAAAACCTGTTGAGGATGGAACTGGTGCGACTCCAGTGGTGAATTTAGAAAGCTCGGAACCTCAACAGAAGACAATGCCTGAAGAAGTGGCGCCTATTTCTAATGTTGAAGCGATTGATCATACTGAGCTAGAATCGGTGGGGAATGTCGAGTTGTCTATGGTGCCATTACAATCGTTTCCTCTCGAGATCGAGGTGCCAAGAGATGAACAACATTCTCTGCCACAGAAAAAGAAGAGGACGTTAAATAAGAGGTATGCCAATGACGCTCCTATTCTGGACGAAGGGAGATCAAAGAAAAGGCATGATTCTAATCGACAAGACAAAGGGAAGAACGTTGTCGATCCTCCTTTGGTGCCACAATCATTTTGAAAATCTATGAAGTGAGAGCGCGAGTTTTAATGTGCCTGAAGGGACCGTCGAAAACTGGTATTCTGCATTTCAGTCGGTGAAGATTCCTCGAGTTGCTACTACTTCGGGTTTACCCAGACATATGGTAGATGCAGCTCGAGTTTCGCTTATGTCATGGGACCCGATGTCCGAGATGAGAGTTTCTACGCTGCCGAGTGTGCATAAACTCAGTTATGCCAAAGCGTGTCTTGGGTGAGATTTAATAAGTCTAGTTGCGGCCGAGGATGACTATCGTCTCACTGCAGCTCAATTGAATGAGAAGAAGAATACTTTAGAGTTGCGTGATGTGGCCATTGATTCCATGGAGGAGAAAGCGACAAAGAAGGAAAGGGTACTGAAAGACGACATCGCCGAGAGGGATGCCCAGATCGAAGTTGCTCAGAAAGAGATCTCGGTGCTCATGGAGGAGAATAAGCGCTTGAAAACCGAAGCCGAAGCGCTAAGGGATCGTATTGCTTTTGCGGAGCAACATGCAAAAATGCTTGTGGGGAGGCTTAACGAGGAGCAACTATTGAAGGAAAGAACTGAGCACCAAGAAACTTTTCGGGATCGCTTGGAGAAGGAGACACTCTTAATCCGAACTCGAGAAGCTCATCAAATCGAGTTGGTGAGACTTGAACAAAAGAAGATCTCTTATGGTGAGTTGAAATATGCGGAGGGATTCCAAGCATGGAAGGATGCTAGTGTTGTTGTTGGAGAACAGATTGAGAAGAATGCTGATGCCATTCTCAGTGAAGAATCTGATGGCCTCGATCTAGACATGGAAATGAATACTTGCATCAACCTACGATGGGTCATTGAGCGGTGTGAAGGTAGATTTTATGATTTTCATGATTTGAGGACTTTTCTGGTTCGCAAACTTGAAAAATACAACTTCAGCCGTGCGATCAAGGGAATGCATATTGAGGCTGATGACGACGAAAGAGAATTTTGTGCTTAGATGCTGGGTCGTGCCGAAGAGATCACCAAAAATCCGACGTCATTATTGAATAGAGTTTTGAGGATATGACTCCGGAGCAAATTCGTGAAGCGGTCGAGGCCTATGATGCAGAAAAGGTCAAGACTAAGGAAGGTGATGTCGGCACAGTTAACGTGGTCTCTGATATGGAAAAAATTTCAACTGATCCTCGGCACGAGTTTGCCCCGGTGACAGATGCAGCGATTGACGCGGTGACGAAAGCGAAAAAAGTGGTCGTGCTCGAAAAACTTCAAGGACAGATGCTAAAACCTACTATCGGAGAAGTTAGAGAGAGCAGAGGTGTTGGCCAAGATGGAAGCGAGAAAGAAGATGCATCATGATTTTTCTTGCTTCTTCAAGTTTTATTCTGTGTCGTTTTATTTTTATCGGGGCATCAACTTGTTGGTGCCCTTAGTAGGCTATTTATGATGTAATCTTAACATGCTGTTTATTTTGGAATAAATACCTCCTTTATTTTTAACCTGTTCTTATTGCTGTTTCATTTTGCAATATTAGACCAAGTGAAGTGAACTCGGAGAGAATGTATTGGACAATTCCCAACTCATAATTTCAACTTAAATTGTTGTGATAAATAGAGTATCTTTTGATGAAATAATTTAGAGAAATTTAAATTCAAAACCGAGTTAAGAAATGTTTGAAGGAAAAAATATACATGTGTACCTTATTTCCGAGTTCATCTTGATCTCTTTGCGAAGTCGGCAATATTGAGAGCCGACATGCAAGCTATTGGAAACTCGCACAACTTGCCACATTTTTTGTGTCGTGGCTAAGTTAAAAAGGGTCACCGAACATCGTCATGGTTCGATTAAAGAATGGCCCCAACTGAGTTAAAATTACTTGGTTGTAAGTGGGGACCGCCAAATCATTTTTTGTGGATTTGACACATGGACGAGCTTCAATCTCACCAAATCAATCGTGGGACTTGGATGTTTATGAGGCATCCGTTGAACCGAGTGTCATATGCTACTCAGTACCGAGTTTTCTTTTTTCGTTACTCGGATTTTGGATTGTTAGTTTTTCTTTTTTTTTTTCTTTTTTTTCTTAAAACCATCATTTCATCAAAAAGAAGATTTTACATGATATCTGATACATCACTGATACAACTTTTTGAGGAATACAACATTACAGGGATATTGATGAGAAGTACAGTCAGGACATTCAATTCGGTATGCGCCATGGGAACACTTGACTGCTTTTGAAAGGTCCTTCTCACTTTGGTTTTAGTGGCCCCGAGTCTGCTCCAGTTATTCTTTTAAGTACCAAATCTCCAACTCGAAATGTACGTGGTTTGAACTTTGTGTTGACATATTTTTCGCTTCTTTGCTTGTAAGCAGCATTCGTGAGTTCAACAAGTGTACGGAGTTCCTCGACTGAGTCGAGGTTGGCTTTCAAATTTTCTGAGATGGATTCGGCATTGTAGTTTTGAATTCGGTATGTTGGCGCACCGAGTTCAACTGGGACAACAACTTCTGACCCATATGTTAAAGAGAATGGGGTGTCATTGGTGGATGTCCTCGTTGTAGTTCGGTATGCCCATAATACGTGACGCAATTCTTCTGGCCATGCACCTTTGGCAGCATCAAGTCGGACTTTGAGAACGTTTTTGATAATCTTGTTAACTACTTTGACTTGACCATTTGATTGCGGGTGATACGGTGAAGAGTAAAAGTGTTCTATTCTGTACTCCTCACAGAAGGCTTCAAGTTTCTTTCCTTCAAACTGCCTGCCGTTGTCGGTAACAATGAAGTTCGGTACTCTGAATTGATAGACTATTGATTTTCAGATAAAATCTACCATTTTCTGCGCAGTAATGGTGGCTAACGGCTTTACTTCTGCCCATTTGGTGAAGTAATCTACAGCTACCACGACAAATTTAACTCCACCTCTTCCCGTCGGGAGAGGAACAATTAAATCGATTCCTATTTTGCAAAAGGCCACGGACTATAAACCGACTTGAGCATTTCAGGGAACTGGTTTGTGTTGGGTGCAAACACTTGGCATTTTGGACATTTGCGCACCCAAGCCGTGACATCCGATTTCATGGTAGGCAAATAATACCCTTGTCGTAAAATTTTATAAGCTAAGGCTTGTACACCGGGGTGCGTCCCACATATTCCTTCATGTAGTTCTTCCAAGACATATCGGGACTGGACTCATTCAGACATTTCAGATGAGAAACCGAATATCCTCTCTAATAAAGGATTACATTTTCTATAGTAAACCGGGCATCTCGGATTCTGAGGGCCCGAGCGTCTTTGGGTTCATGAGGTTAGGCCCCGGTTTTCAAATGCCGAATTATTGGGTCCATCCAGGTTTTATTTTTTTGAGGTGTCACCACATCGGTGGTAAGGACTTCTTGAAGGTTTATAGACAGTTTTTCATGTTG